TATTAAAGTTTTTCTTCATTACCCATTCAAGCCGTCTCCAGCCATTATCATATGATTGACATTTTGAACAACACGCACAGACCATTATTCAAATCATGCATGGCTAGCAAATTAATAAGTTTAGCTATACAATAACAATGCAACTTACTTGTGCCACAACAGAAAGCAGACCTATAATGGCAATAAATAAGGCAACTTCTTCAGCTGAAAATCCCATTACCTATAATATACATATATAAAAGCAAGAAATACTTTGAGAAGTTAATTATATGACAGAACACTTAACAAATATCTAGTAAACTTCAGTATGTCAAGCTACAGCTATTTTAAATTAGCTTCAAACATTTTGGTTTCTTATAAAAAAAATCTAGCCAAACTTTTATTATTTAGGGTATTTAAGACAGTTAAAGGTAATACTAATAGTATAACACAGTTATTTCTTGAAGTTGCAATTTCTATAATTAAAAATACGCTTTGTACGTGTGTTGTGGTGAAATAAACTCAACTTGGATCTCATTTAATTATGTTTTAGAGGCTATTTCAGTTAATCTGTTAAATTTAACACCAGCTACTTTAAAGTGACTTTTATTCATATTTTGATTTGTATTATTTTGTGATTTCTCCTCATTTATGTAGAGAAGATTAATCAAAATTTGAATGAAAAGTTAGAAACATATTTTTTAAAAACAGAGAAATAATAGGTACAAACTATAGTGAATTTTTACTTCAAGTAAACAAAGTAAAATACTGTATATCTTTCTTTAGAAAAAAAATATCAACCAGTTTGCTTTGACTAACTATAACTTATGAGTCATAACTATTACACCTACAACAAAGTGAGCAGTTCATTTTGAACTTTTGAAATATTTTTTTACACATACAGACATGTAAAAAATGTTCATAGTTACACATCAATTGCATAACATAACCTTCAGCACATTAATCTGACATTCTGTATTTTTATGCATATTTATATAAATATTATAAGATTATTTTTGAAATCTTAGTATCACAAAATGTTTCCATAGATAAGGAATATTTTTCACATTTCTTTTTGCTGTCTGCTACTATACACACTTCAAAAAGAAAAAATATATTGGGTAGCTAGGAAAGATGACTTATGAATAATTCTAATACACTTTTCATCCTATGGAAAAACAAATGTTTTTGAGATTATACAGAGGGTTGAGTAAGTTATATTAAAAATTATTTTGAATATTCAAATCAGCATGTCACATGGCAACCACAGTCAATATAAAGTCATGTTGGAACAGATGAATTAGAACTACATTTTGACATTGGCATTTCACAATGTGATACCAATGAAAAAAAATGTCTTTGATATGTAACAGCACTTTCTGATACTAACACTTCATGCTTTCAGATCATTAAGAAGTAAGTAGATTAGAAATTTATAATTTTCAAAACAGGAATTTCCCTTGTATTTTATGCTATTTGAAAACAGGAATATGGATCAACTAAGGGCACCAAAGACCATTCAGAAAGAGATCTGCAACAATTCATACCTCAGCTCTGGTAAGCAAAGTGTAGTATAACAAACGAGAATCTACAAACACAAAGAACAGTGGCAAAAGCAATCCATGTGCCCCACCCAACAGCACATAATAAAGAAGGATCACCATCTGGAAAAGTGACACAAGTTCACATGTACTCATCTTACTTCCACGATATTTGCATTCAACCATCGCATACTTCAAGCAGATAATGAATGATATGGGTATTTATAATATTTCACACCAGTCAAGTTGCCAATGGATTTCTGTACAATTGGACTGTTGAAGCAGGCACTGGGAAACCATTGTCCTTGTACACTAGATGAAAAGAATGCAAGTAGTTGTGGTTGCTTTGACCATGACATCCTCATGGCAGTCTTTTCCAATGGAAACTACAATGTAGGGAAATTGTCAAGATTCACAGTCATCAGATAGAGCGTAACTGGAGGTGGTTACATGTTGAAGCTCCAAAATCTTTTCAATATAATGTACTCAACATCTGTGTTGGAGCAATTAAGTAGATATATATTACAATTTCTTAATAAACATAGGATTGACTGAAAAGTATTTAACACTTCTGTATGATGTCAGGTCTTTTCAATTAATTCTATTAGTTAATAACTAATCATCTCAACAATTAAAAAAAGGGAACTTAACATTACCAAAACTATCACATTTTTTGGTTTTTTATAGTGCTTTATCATAAAACAAACTTGGTATCATCATATCATTACAATAATTTTAATTAGGTTTTTCAAGCAGCTTTTCTAACTGCTATAACCTTACAGGATAGGATGCCATGTTTTTCTGGTATTAAGCTCTTTTACTTACATAATAGATTGACATTTTAAACATAACTCACTCATAACTTGCAAAGTCCAACTTTAATGGTAATACTCACCAATCTTAGATAAACAAAAAAACATGAGTACTGGCCTGCCTCAGGAAGGTAAGAAAGAAATACTGCCATACAAAGCATGAGAATCATTTGATCTTTTCCAACCTTCTTAAGAGCCTAGAACAGAGAAGAGTGGATATAATCATATTTATATACAAGCTGCAACTGAAACAAAAGTATCTTTCTGAAATGTTCCAAATCATAGCTTTCAATGGAGGATTCTAATTTTTGTGTGTGTAGGCTTTAGCTTGAGATAACTAGGTAACTATTACAATACTTCAGGATAAGAAATTTCTAAATTTAAAGAGAGTTTGTGTATAAAATAAAAGTAACTTATTGATTTTGCATTAAAATAATAGAAGATAAAAGGTAAATTCTTAACCCTTTCTTTACAGGTAGGTCACAGTATGCATTTCACCTTTTAGAGTTACCTTCAAAATTTAATTAAACTAATGTATTGTCATTGGTTATGAATAAACTTAGCATCAAAACATAAACAAAGTTTTAATATTCTACAAGTTTTAAGTTTATAACAAAATATTAAAAAAATCCTCAATCTTCCCTAGTATGTGAATTATGACATTTGTTTTCTAGGTTTTTCCCTCTTCTCAATTTATTTACCGCCCCTTTGAGAATTATAGAATTTAAAGTAAATTACTTATTATAATAAAGATATTACTAAGGCAAAGCATAATCTTTATAGCCTTCAATCATATTTGTTTACAGAGTCATAAATATCTATTTCACAAATTGTCAATAGTTCTCTCTGACAATTTATAAATTTACACTATGTCATTTATAAACAATGGAAAGCCAATGTCTTAATCTATCAAATGATGTATTATATTACATTGTTTTCAGTACAGAGAACTGTCTATTTTATCTTCAGTATGAAACTTTCTGTCACAGTCTTCAGATCAATAATCTTAAGGTAAGGTTTAAAGGCTCTTAGGCTGAAGTTAGAAAGCCAGAACAATTTTGATATATATATATAGGACATTGTTTGCTTTGTGTGTGTTATTATTCTGTGTGCATTATTTAAGTAAATAAAAATTATTTAGTGTATTATTACCATTAGTATAAAGAAGTAGGCTTAAATTTCATCAATAACTCCCAGCACAAAACAAGAGGTTAAAGAAAGTGACATATTTTGTGTATATTCTTTATTATAAAAGTAACTAAAATGTAAAAATTAAAAACCTATTTAGGATAAATAATTGTAGTATCTAGTTACAATCTGCAATCATTCAAGAATATTCAATATTTTTATACTGGTTCCAAGGTTGGTCAAATCGACTCAATGCATGTAGAGTTAGGGTAGAGAAAATAGCAGATAAAATATAAACTTTTACTGAAAAAACAAAAAAACGTTTCTTATTTATTTAGGAGGTTTTAGAGATTACACAAATAAAAAATTTTACAACTTTTAGGAAAAGAAAGTATTTTTAATCTTAACATGAAAATCTTTGCACTCAGAGCAATCAACACTGATTCCATATATTCAGGACAAATTTCTAGTAAAAATACTTAATTAAAAATCTTGATTTTTTGCATACAAAAGACTTGCAATGTTTACTGAAAGCTTGCCAAATTTCGTGAAAATACACAAAACATATTAAAAGTTATTGAAACTCTGATGGCTATTTTGGGGTTACAAATTCAGTCAAATCAACCAAACCTGTAGTTAGAGGATTAAGTTTCTTTTCTAGTTTTTAAATATTAAAATAACAAGCTTCATGGATCAAACAGTTTCTGAACTTAAGAAGAAAGAAAAATTACCCAATACAATACCCAAACATAGGAAACACATTTTAATTCTAGCAAAGTATTAAACATCCCTGGTACTAAAAGGATTGTACTAACATTTTCATGCTGAATTTAAGCAATGTGACAAATCCAATCATTTAAAAAGAAAAACAGATATTTTTAGAAAATCTCAAAAAAGTTCCAACAGCATAGAATAAGAACATAATAATTTCTTCTTTAATCAAACAATATATTTCAAGTAATATGAATAACAAACAACTGTAGCTACAGCATGACCAACACTGAAAATACAAAGGGTGTCTAAAATTATTTTGTGTGTGTGTGGGGGGGGGGACACCTTGAACATTTTGGCATCTTAACCCTATCGCCCCGGGTATCCTTTACTGTGCATGACACAAGGTTTTGGTGTCTTTCTTTCAAAATTATCTTAAACTACTTTTTGTTTATGTTACACCAATTACAATAGCTTAAAATCTTAGCTAAT